ACCGACACGCGCCCTTCCGCTCCGGTTCTTGCTCTTGAAACCCTAACTTTTGGTGGGTTTCGGTTCAAAAGAATCGGGGCTTGGTTTGGTTTGTGTTCGGAGTCGAGAGAGAGGCGAGGGTGCTCTTCGGATTCGGGTCCGGACGAGGATGTTGACGACAGCGAGAGGCGAGAGGAGATCGACAGCGGCTCAGTGTCGGATTCTTTCAGTAGGGGCAGGTTAAGATTAGGATCCGACGATGATGAGGATCGCAGATTGCGGTTAAGGAAATGCTTTAAGGACTTCGGGTTCAGGTTTAGAACCGGATCCGCTCTCGACGTTGTTCCTGCTCTGCCGCTTGAGGCCGGAGAGCTCCTCCAACGGCTAGAACGGTCGGGCCTTTGGGGATACAGCAAAGAAATCCGACCCGAGCCGATAATCTCCTCTCTTCTCCCGGTTTCAGCGGCGTGTCGGGCAAGCGATCGGGTTCAGCTGTCGGTCGGATCGATCCGGTGCGGTTTCCGACCGGAGCAAGCTGGAGCGGACCAGCTTTCCGTCGGACGAAGAGCTCGTCGGCGGGACATGGCGACGGGGTCGTTGAGGTGGAATCCGAGTCCGATGAAGTCCTTGGAAGTCCGGACCGAACCGCATTGAGTCGAGGGGATCCGACCTTAGTAGGAGGAAAGTCGCGGCTAAAGGAGACGCGAGGGCTGAAGACCCCATAAGAAGGGGGGACGGTGACGTTGTTGACGCAGGCGGAGGCCATCGTTAGATCATAAACAGCCGGAGCTCCGGTAACTTTTCCGATGTGGGACTAAAAATTTCAGGATTTTTGGCAAAGGGATTTTTTGGGGCTAGGGCTGAGTGAAAGAGATGGGGAGGTGGGTGGGGGTGGGGATGTACTGATGTTGGGGATATATATGCGGCATTTGTCGTCTTTTAGTGGGGGATCATTTTGGGGTGGGGGAGGGCACGTGGATGGTTGTGAGGACGTGGATGCTAATTTTGCTTGTGATCTGTCGCTTTACAGTGTACCAGCGTTACTGTTGTCTAGCCCGTAGTGTATTGGCATACGCCAGCTGTTGTGGATCTCTATACCCCTTTGGTAAATTCTAGAAATACTTGGGAAAAAATAGCTGGTAGAATTTGTGTAATTTGGTGTTGTAATTTGTAATTGTTTTCAAACGCATGGGCTGGTATATGATATGAGCACCGTCAAAATATCAGGTGACGTGTTGATGTGCTGATATATTATGCCTGAGATCGCAATTTGTGCCTTAAGTTAGCCTTATCCGGTTCTTATTCGTATCTCTGGCTTCGGTTGCCAACTTTGAAAATATCCCGCGTAAGTTTTGAACTAGCTCCATTTTGCTTGGATTATTAGACGAAACTAGACTTTATTACTAGTTCTATTTTAAATTAAGGGAGACATGGTTTATTTCTAGTCTAGTTAATGAGCGAAAGTAGGCGTCAAATAAATTAGTTTACTCTATTTTTTTCTATTGATAAACGCGGGCTTTGTACATGGACCCATTTTTGTTTCTGCTAAAATTGTTTTAACTCAGCTTGCCAAACAGGTCCTTAATGCGGGCCAAATTATCAAGTTGATATTTTTTTGTAACATCTCTTTTTATCAATTTGATGTTCTTTATTGATCTGATATTTTTTTATATTAAATGTCTGCTAAAAATTGAATTAGATATTATTTTTTTTGCCGCCAATGAAAATTGGCGGGTACAATACATATGACATCGTGCTAATAAATTCGAAAGATATTATAATGCTAACTTGGTTGTATTTATATGACATAACATGGTTTAAATGACGAGAAAGCGAGAGTTAAACTAACCCTAAATTTCCTCATTTTCTAACGCAAGAGACGGAAGGCTTTAGGGGTGGGGGTGTTGGGTGTGTGTTTTAGGGGTAACAGGGTGGGGGGGGGGGGGGGGTCGAGGGAGGGATTATTAAATACGGCAAAATGCTTGAACTTTTTTTTGCTTGGGATTTTCAACGTTGTGAAAATTAATATATACTTGCACATTTTGTGGAGTTTTAATGCCCCGAAGTCATCTGAGCAAAAAAAAAAAAAACCAACTAGTAAAAGAGTGTTGTAAAATTTACCAAATTGGTAAGTTAATTAGCCATTTAATTTGGATCTTAATTTAAATCCGTTGTAGATTTCAGATTGAAATTGGTTCTAAATATCTTATCTGAGACCTAACATACTTTGGATAAAGACATACTGAATTCTATTCTTTGTAGAAAAGGAAATGAAGGATATTATTAGTTTTTGTCATAACGGTTTAATGTTGATTAGATCGTAGTGTTTCTTTTTAAACGAGTGCTAGGCAGGGAGATATCGAAGTATTTGAACTAAAACGGATAGTTTTCTTGTATTGATTTCGATTAGGATGATACACTGGCACTACCCATCCAAATCCTCTTGTTGAAGGATATTGAAAACTTGCTTTTTCCCTTTTTTATATGCAATTAACAGGCTTATAATCTAAACCAAATCATTCGTACTCCCATGTATCCATACAATTAAAAATGTGGTGTTTAAACAAAGTCAATCAATCGTAGGTAGACGGTTGTCATTACAGTATTGGTCTTATATCATAAAAAAAAGAACAGCTCCTTTCATGTATCTAAATAGCCTCTCTCCGAAAACCCCTAGATTTGCAATGTTTTACAAATCTTATATTATTATAAATGTGTGTTGGATGTTAAATTTTTTTCCCTTTCAAAAATGTTCTCCGACCCACATGCATGCATACATAAACCTTACCTCTCCAAATAAAATACATCATACATATACATACATAAATACATTATAGCTCTTCAAATTATTTTCGTAACCCCCTCTTATTAAATCACATTAATGTAAAGCTTTAGACTATAATATAACTATCATATAGCTTGGTATATACATACTTATTTTATTTAGCATTTCAATCTTAATATTTTTTTAGTTCCCGGAAAAGATCCTCAATAGTCACAACACCTCACTTTATGCTCTGAACCTAAATCTTATTTTGTTCATATTTTATATTATAGTTGGTGTTATAGTAATTTACCATTTAAAGATAAAGATGTCAAAAGATTGTTTTTATAGGCCCAAAAAAGTTATGGTCCAAACCAACTTAGTAGCCCAGAAGCCCAGCCGAGAGCAAGTCTATTGACCCGCCGAGGAGACGAGTTATCTTTTACCGACACAAAGTGCGGGATTAGTCGACCCCTCATAAGTCGAGACGACTCCCCAAATAGTCGGCTCGACCACCTTCTCAGCGGTTTACTCGACCAGAACCTCACTCGACTGACTTATCAACAAATTATATGGACAACCCACAAATCGATCTGTATTTACTAAGGGGATAAGATCCAGCTAAGCCACCTTCAGATATACATCAATCAACACCACAGTTTATTGAGCGGTCTTATCAAGATCTCAACTCTGACAAACCTCGTGCGAAAACAACTCACTCTACCCACAAGTCACTTCCCAGAGATCACTAAGATACACTCCTATGCTCGAATGACTTCCCCTCCAGTAGTCAGCCGCCATCTGGAAAGGGAAGGAGACCTAAACAATTGGCTTATCCTCCGTCCTGTCTCATCTATCGAATCTAGGATGTTTTCAAGGCATCCTCCTGTTCTCGAATGACTTCCCCTTCAGTCGCTAGCCGCCATCTGGAAAGAGAATGAGGCCTAAACAATTGACCTATTCTCTGTCCTGTCTCATCTATCGAATATAGGATGTTTTCAAGGCATCCTCCTGTGTTCGAATGACTTCCCCTCCAGTCGTCAGCTGCCATCTAGAAAGAGAATGAGGCCTAAACAATCGGTCTATCCTCCGTCCTGTCTCATCTATCGAATCTGGGATATTTTCAAGGCATCCTCCTGTACTCGAATGACTTCCCCGTCAGTCACCAGCCGATATCTGTAAAGTGAAGGATGACTCAGCAGCCTGTTTGCTCACCCCACAACTGCCCTCCTGTGCATAGTTAGCTTTTAACTCTTTTAAGACTTCTTAACTCTTTTTCGGTGAAAGCTCTAAGCAATTCTAAAAGTTATGCCTTCTTTTAAAAACTCAATAAGAGTAATGAATATCAGGACCTCAATGATCCTCGGATCTTTCCTCAAACCCCACTCAAGCTCATCACTTGACTTGACCGTCGGATGTACCACGGGGGAACCGGTCTCCGCCCTCTTACGAGTTTCTTCTTGTTTGTGTAGAAGGATCTGAATTCCAATCCAAAAATCGGGCATAAAGTCGGAGGAGGAGTTGGCCCCACCTCTCATCATCTCCCTCTTCGCCGTTAGCGCAAAGATCAAAATTGCATCCCTCGGCGGAAAGACCACATCGGCTGTTTGATATCAGACATCAACAGTTGGATATATACAGTTACTATATCTAGCATTTCAAATCTTAATTAATAGAATGTCATTAACTATGCATGTTGAGCATTTGAATGTGAAAACAAAAATCTTGTGTGTTTCAACTTATTTAGCCATTTTCATTATGAACTATAATGAGGTTTCAGAAATGGAAACATTTCTAGGTATTTCCATTAAGGAAAATGACAGTTATAAAATCAAATACTATATACATTAATTCTATATACTTGAACCTTATTAAAAACTAAGAAGAGATAACAGAATCAGGACAAGAAAAGAAATAAAACAATGCTTTAAAAAGGTTAGTAAAAATTATTTATTTTAAAATAATTTTAAAAAATTCCAATAATGAGATTTTGTTCAATTACAAATTCTTTTCAGACAGAAGAAGGGATCCAGAGTAATCTCTGTTGTAGAGAAATCTTTTATTTCAAATGATTAAGTGGTGTATACATGTAAGTTTCCACCTCTTTTATTTCTTGATATTTTTTTATTGTTCGTAATTGAACATTAATGATGATTTTGTGTTGTTATCCGTTTTAAGATTGTAAAAAAAGTTAATTAAAGGCCTAATGCTTGGCTCAAGAAGGAGAATATGAAGGGGGGAAAATAGATTTGTATGAAATGGAAACAAAAGAAAATTGTAGTTTGCTTTTGGTTTCATGGAATTTGTGTATATCGAATCTACAAATTGAAAGAATTGGAGATTTTGTTATTCTACCAAATGTTAAAACTATGATGTCCTAATACTTGGATTAATAGTTTGATGGCTAAAATAAATAGTTTTAAATGTTATTATGAACCTCGTGTGAGAGAGTGGTGAATGTGGCTAATTTTCTTTCTGATTTTATCTAACTTGCTTTTGTTATCCTTTATTTTCTTAATATTTGAATTATAGTTTAACTTAATTTAGTTTATTTTTTAAATTCTTATCAATTACAAAAAAATTGCCTGTAAAAAATATCATTCTTTATTCAATATTTAAGACATACATAAAATATAAAAATCTCTTCTCTTTGATTTCTTTCAAGACTCTAAGAGAGAATCGGGAAAATAATATTTAGAATCAGTAATTAATGTGGATTTTATGCACATACCATTATATTCAATATTATTAATTAATGTATTTTTTATTTCACGTGACATCCAATTGTTTATTAGAAAGAAATGATTGAAAAATGAAATGGGACTATTATATCATAACAAACACATGAAAGTTTTGTGACAAGTTGTGTGTTTCTATGCACATAACATTATATTCAATATCATTACTTCTCGCAGCTAGATAAGAGTGATTGCGGAAATTAAATAGAAGAAAGAGGAGGTTTAGTTTTAAAACAATTAGGTTAGTTCCCTAAATCCTAGTAA